GTTTATTTTCCCACAGTTCTTGAGTGTAGAAGTCCAAGATCAAGAGAGCAGTAGATCTGGTTTCTCCTGAAGCCTCTCCTTGAATTGCAGTTGGTTGTTCTGTCATTGCCTGTTCACATGATTATTCCTCTGGACAGGTGTGCCCCTGCCAGCTCTTCTTTTGTGTCCAAATTTCTTCTTCTTATAATCATACCAGTTAGATTAGATTAGGGACCACCATAATGGCTTCATTTTAACTTAATCACCTCTTTAAAGATAATTCACCTATCTCTAAATACCAACATATTCTGAGCTACTAGGGATTAGGACTTCAAAACGTACATTTTGGGGAGGACACAGTTTGTTCTATAACAGTCAGCTTTCGGTTTCATTGATTTTCTCTATTGTCTTCCTATTTTGAACTTCACTGATTTCCATCTTAAGTTTTACTGTTTCTTTTTTTCTTTTTTTTTTTTGAGACAGAGCCTTGTCGCCCAGGCTGGAGTGCAGTGGCACAATCCCAGCTCTCTGCATCCTTTGCCTCCTGGGTTCAAGTGATTCTCCTGCCTCAGCCTCCTTGAGTAGCTAGGATTAAAGGCGCCCACCACCACACCTGGCTAATTTTTTGTATTTTTAGTAGAAATAGGGTTTCATTATGTTAGCCAGGCTGGTCTCGAGCTCCTGACCTCAAGTGATCTGCCCACTTTGGTCTCCCAAAATGATGGGATTATAGACATGAGTTACTGTGCCCAGCCCTTCTTTTCTTTTTGTAGTGCTTTCTTTAGGCTTAAATTGCTCTTCTTTCTCTAGCCTTTTTTTTTTTTTTTTTTTTTTTTTTTTTGTTTTCAGTTTTTTTAATTTTTTGTCAAGACAGATTCTTGCTACATTGCTCAGGCTGGTCTTGAGCTCCTGGCCTCAAGCAATTCTCCTGCCTCTGGGGTTAGAGAAGTGAGCCACCATGCCTGGCCCTATCTAGCTTTCTGTTGTGTTTTTAAGGAGGAAGCTTAGCCTGTTGATTTTCAGGCCTTTCTTCTTTCCTAATATGTGCATTTTAATGCTATAAGTATCCCTTTAAGCATGCTTTTCCTCCATCCCACACATTTTGATAAGTTTTGTTTTCATTTTGTTCAAAATATTTTAAAATTTCCATTGAGACTTATCTCTTGACCTGTAGTTTATTTAGAAGTATGTTGCTTAATCTCCAATATGGTGGAATTTTCCAGCAAGTTTTCTGGGCTCTAATTTAATTCCATTGTAGCCTGAGAGCATACTTTGTATGATTTCTATTTTAAATTTGTCAGGATATGTTTTATGGCCCAGAATGTGGTGTATTTTGTTGAGTGTTTCATGTGAACTTGAGAGGTACGTGTATTTTGTTGTTGGCAGACTATTCTATAAGTATCAATTAGATCAAGTTGATTGATAATGCTATTCAGGCCAACTATATCCTTATTGATTTTTTGCCTGCTTGATCTCCCAGTTACTGACAAGGTTGCAATGAAGTCTCCAGCTGTATTACTGGATTTGTCTATTTCTCCTTTCTGTTCTCTCAGTTTTTGCCTTACATATTGTGAACACTGAATTGTTAAGTATATACGTGTTAGAAGATTGTTACGTCTTCTTAGAGACTTGAGTCTTTTGTCATTATGTAATGCCTCTCTTCATCCTGATAATTTTCCTTCTGATGGCTGCTTTGTCTGTAGTTAATATAGCTAGGCTAGTCCAGTTACCTTTTTTTTTTTTTTTTTTTGAGAAAAGGTCTTGTTTTGTTGCTCAAGCTGAGTGTAGTGGCACAATCACGGTTCACTGCAGCCTTGACCTCCCAGGCTCAAGTGGTTTTCCTGCCTCTGCCTCCCTGGTAGCTGGGACTATAGGTGCACACCACCATGCTCGGCTTATTTTTAAACACTTTTTTAGAGATGGGCATCTCACTGTGTTGCCTAGTCTGGTCTTAAACTCTTAGGCTGAAGCAGTGCTCCTGCCTTGGCCTCCTAAAGTGCTGGGATTACAGGTTTGAGCCACTGTGCCTGGCCTGCAGTTATCTTTTCATTAGTATTATCATGATATATCTTTCTCTATCCCTTTTGTTTTTTGAAATGGCTTTATTGAGACATAATTCACATACCATTTAACTTACTAATTTAAAATGTACAAATTAATTGGTTTCTAGTATAATCAAAGATATTTGCAGCCATCACCAGTCAATTCAAAATATGTCATCACCTCAAAAAGAAACCCTCTACCTTTAACTATCACCTACTTATCCCTATGCCTTACATCGTCTCTAACTCCCTGCCCCTTCCCAATCCTAAGCAAACACTAGTCTACTTTGTGTTTCTATTGATTTTCCTATTTGATATTCATATTTGATATCTGATATATGTATGAAATAATAGATTTGGACTTTTGTGACTGGCTTCTTTCACTTAGCATGTTTTCATGGTTGTAATACATATGTTGTAACATATATTAGTACTTAGTTTCTTTTGTGGTCAAACAATAGGCAGAAAAAAATCTGTGATAAGTAGTTTCTCTTGAGGGAAAGGCCTTTGTTGCTTTTCTTTTCTTTTTTGAGACAGAGTTTCATTCTTGATGCCTAGGCTGGAGTGCAGTGGCCGCAATCTTGGCTCACTGAAACTTCCGCCTCCCAGGTTCAAGTGATTATCCTGCCTCAGCCTCCCGAGTAGCTGGGATGACAGGCATCTGCCACCATGCCTGGCTAATTTTTTGTATTTTTAGTAGTGTTGGGGTTTCATCATGTCGGCCAGGCTGGTCTTGAACTCCTGACCTCCAGTGATCCACCCACCTTGGCCTCCCAAAGTGCTGGGATTATAGGTGTGAGCAACTACACCCAGCCAAGATGGTTACTTTTCACCTTTCCCTTCCCTAAACACAACAGGATTTTTCTCAGATCTTCACTATGAGAACCTGGGGGGCCCTTGGATGTAATGATTAGGAAAGTATGAACCCTCCTCTTAATATTGGGTCCCCATGAGTTTTAACTCTCAAGCTAGTCCATACTCAGCATGCAGTAATTTGTCACTGACTTTTTAAGTGTTCCTACCACTTACTGGCTTTAGTGGTTTCTGCTCTCCAGTAAACTGATTTGGCTCTGATTCTCTGTACTGACCTTGTTTCTCCAGTCAGGGAGTATTTGCCCTGAGGCCTCAGTTCTCTGATGGATCTAAGAAAAGTTGTTAATTTTCAGTTTGTTAGCGTTTTTCTTGTGAAAGTGGACTTGATGACGTTTAAGCTCTTTATGTCTGAGCTGAAATTGGAAATCCAAATTATCGTATTTCAAAGAAAAATGATAATTGGTCTCCTTTCCCCTTAAGAGTGTTTTGTTTTGTTTTGTTTTTTGCTTGTGGGCAAAGGCTGTCTCATTCATCATTTTATCTCCAGTACCAAAGAGCTTGGACGCGTTTTTGAATGAATGTTGAATCAGCTAACCCTATAACTGAACTAGATGATGGTAGGGGCCAAAGGAACCTTCCTCTTCACCCTCTGATGGTCTGTTGAAAATCATCTGACAAAAGGCAAATTAAAGGGAGAAAGGCATACAAATTTATTAACGTACAAGGGAGTCTTACAAAGTACAAGAACTCAAAGAAATGGCCAGATGGTTGATGCTTTTATGCCATCTAGAGGTTACAGAAAGAATAGGGCTTAAAGCATGGCAAAGCCAGTTATGTTGGCAAAAAAATATGGGAGGGGAAGAAGAGGAGGCCTGGCTAGCAAAAGTGGTCTTATTATGCAGAGGAAACTGCACAGATAGCATCCTTCATAGCAAATAGAGGGTAAATATTTCTTTCAGACCATTAAGGTTGTCAGACTTTCAGTATTTCCTAGATTGGAACAAGGGAAGGTCCTCAGAGAAAGCCTGGCTGCCATTTGTTTTTCTCTACAGTTGCAACAATTTTGCAAGGCTACTGCTGTTTGCAGGCCCTCTAAACAGCCATCTCAACATATGTCAAATAAGTATATTTTGAAGTGAAATATTTTGGTTTCCTTCAATAGATAATATAAGGTGTTATAAGAAAACTTCAGCCAAATTAAATTTAAATGAATTTAATTGAGCAGTGAACAATTTGTGAATTGGGCAGCCCCCAGAATCACAGCAGATTCAGAGAGATTCCAGGGATGCTTCGTGGTCAGAACAAATTTATAGACAAAAAAATAAAAATTAAAAAAATGGAAGTGATGTACAGAAATCAGCAGTGAGGTACAGAAACAGCCGGATTGGTTACAGGTTGGCGTGTACCTTCTTTGAATGCAGTTTGAACACTTAGCAGTCTGTGAGTGGTTGAAGTATGGCCACTGGGATAGGCCAAGTCTCAGCCATTGTTGCAGGTGCATACTCCTAAGTTAGGTTTTCAATCTTGTCTGCTTGTTAAGATAGGTTAGGATTCATCCACAAGGTCTCAAATATAGAAGTTTGGAGTCCTTCTCAGGCCATATTTAGTTGGCTTCAACAAAGGTGAATTTGAGAATGTAGCTTGCCTGTGGAGCCTAACTTCTCTTTATGGTTCTTCCATTGCTACTAGGTTTTGTCCTGGGATTGATCTGATTATTTGTGCTAGGATTATTAGGCAATGTCAGTTGTTTGCTTCGATAAAGGGGATCAGATTACCCATGAAGTACTAGTGGGAAAAGGAATAATTCCTTGGAAGGGCTAAAATTATGGCACTGGCAATTGGATAGAAAAGCTTTAATAGAGAATAATGAGGATTGGAAAGCCAATAGGAGAGTGGCAGAATCGTGGTATGAATAAATAAATAATATATATATATATTCAAATATATATATATATAAGTATATATATATATATATATTTACTGTGTACTCAGTAAAGAGTACACAAAATTTTGAGTTTTTTAAATTCATGCTTTATGAACTAATTAGTAATGTATTTGATTAGAAATGACTAGATATAGGGAAACTTTTATTAGGAAATTCAGTAAGCATAATAAAACCTTTTTTCTCACAAGCTAATAAAGATATATTGAAAAAAACTTTTTCAGAGATCCTGAACTTTCAACTGTTTGCCGGAAGTCTGGTACATTAATATTATATCCAGGGGCTGAAGCTGCTAATTTGGAAGAATTTATATTAGATTCTCCTGTTTATCCTTCTACAATCATCATCATTGATGGTACATGGAGCCAGGCTAAGGACATTTTCTATAAGAATTCCTTGTTTCGACACCCCAAACAGGTAAGCTAGTAATTTTAACAGAGAATAAATGCAAATGTATAATTAGGTATATTGTATGTGTTTTCTGTGAAGGATACACGTGCATTTTTATATATGAATTTGGTGGTATTTACATGTGTGAATGTATACTACATAGATATATGTGTGCTTATGTTTATAAGTTTGAATATATATATATATTTTGAATATATATATGTAAAATTTCAAATTTGTCATTTCATCTCAATTCCGACTGCCAAATTTCACTGTAGTTTAGGCATTTGGCTAGATAAAGAGTCTCTTAGACATTTACTCAGAAAAGTCTAAGAATGATTTTTATATGTATTAATGTTTTTTGTTGAGAAGTATTATCTTATTTAAATACTTTTATTTGGCTACTGAATTAACTAGTTCTTATGAGGAATGACTAAATTTTTATGAAATAATTTTTTTATCATTCATTATTATAGTTAAATGGTTTATTCTTCAGTTTTTTGATGTAATTAATTATGAAGACACATTTCTTAATATTGCTCCATTCTTGTATTCCTAGAATGGACTCTACTGAGTAGACTATTAAGAATTTTTGATACATTGCTGAAAAATATATTTGATTCAATGGCATTGAATTATGTGTATATTTGGTCCATTGTCAGGTTTGGGTATTAAGATAATGTTAATTTCTAAAGTAAATTGGAGAGATTTTAATATTTTTCTATGACCTGGAATAGTTTAAATAATACTAGAAATCCTTGCTCCTTAGAAATTAGATGGAACTCATTGGTGAAATCACTTGGTTCTGTTCTCTTTAAAAATGTAGCTTTTAAATTCTTATTTCAGACTCTTCTAAGGAAATCATTTATGCTTTCCACTTCTATTTGGATTAGTTTTTAATAACTTTTATATTTCCCTAGGGAATTGCCTCATTTCTCTAAGTTAGCAGATTGATTGCCATATACTTATATACATTCTTAAATAATTATTTTAATTTCTCAGGAATGTTTCTTTCTTGTTTTTAATCATGCACACACAAACATAGACACAGATACACATACACAAACTTTTTTTTTTTTAACATGAATAGATTTGAAAGGGGTTTCTCTATTTTATTGAGCTTTAAAAGTATAAGCTTTAAAAAGTATATTGTTTATGTTGGCTATTTAGTTTATTTCTATTTCATGATATTGAATTTTTTTCTTGACCAATTTTATGTTTTATCTTTTTGGGCTTATTTTCTTCTGTTGTTTTTCTGATTTTATAAGATTTTTACTAAGAGTACTTCTGTAGACTGAATTGTGTTCCCTGTCCCTCCCCCAACCCTGCATATATTGGAGCTCTAACTTCCAGTATAATGGCATTTGGAGTTGGGGTCTTTGGGAGGTGATTAGATTATGAAAGCCCTCATGATGAGATTAGTACCTTTAGAAGAAGAGACTTGAGAGATATTTCTTTTTCTCTCTCTGTCTCTCTGTCTGTCTCTGTCTCTCTGCATTTGAGGACACAGCAAGAAGACTTCCATTTGCAAGCCAGGAAGAGAGCTCTCACCAGGACCCTGACAATGCAGGTACTCTGATTCAGACTTCCCAGCTTCCAGAACTGTAAGAAATTGATGTTACAACAGCCTGAGCTGACTAAAACAAGTACTAAATTTTTTTATTAAGATTTCTGGGCTGGGCGGGGTGGCTCATGCCTATAATCCCAGCACTTTGGGAGGCTGAGGAGGGCCAGTCACTAGGTCAGGAGATCGAGACCACCCTGGCCAATATGGTAAAACCCTGTCTTTACTAAAAATACAGAAATTGGCTGGGCATGGTGGTGCATGACTGTAGTCCCAGCTACTTGGGAGGCTGAGGCAGAAGAATGGATTGAACTCAGGAGGTGGAGGTTGCAATGAGTTGAGATTACACCCCTGCATTCCAGCCTGGTGGCAGAGCAAGATTCTGTCTCAAAAAAAAAAAAGATTTCTGAGTTCTACTTGGCTTGGTGGCTTAGTAACTCCAGTATACCTGTAATTCCAGCTACTCGAGAGGCTGAGGTGGAATTTGATATTACAGTGAGCTATGATTGTGCCACTGCACTCCAGCCTGGGTGCCAGAGAGAGACCCTGTCTCTAAAAAAATAGTTACTTTCCTTTTTGAATAAAAGGGAAGAGATGGATACAATATTTCTGCTAGTATAACTGTCTCTATATCCCATTGTTTTGGGTTTAAGTGTTTTTTTATCAATAGCATTGATATAAGTTGTTTTGATTTCATTCTACCCATGGATTATCAATAAATAATTTTTTAAAAAACTTTCAATAGCTTTTGGGGTACAAGTGGTTTTGGTTACTTGGATGAATTCTCTAGTGGTGAATTCTGAGATTTTAGTGTACCTGTCACCTGGGCAGTGCACACTGTATCCAATATTTAGTCTTTTATTCCTCACCTCTCTCCTCCCACCCAGAGTCCCCAAAATTCATTATGTGTGTATTTGCATCCTCATAGCTTAGCTCCCACTTATAAGTGAGAACATAATGGAATTTGATTTTCCATTCCTGAGTTATTTCACTTAGAATAATGGCCTCTAGTTCCACTCAAGTTGATGTGAAAGACATTAGTTTGTTCATTTTCATGGCTGAGTAGTATTCCATGGTGTATATATACTACATTTTCTTTATCCTCTCATTAGTTGATGGGCACTTAGATTGGTTCCATATCTTTGCAGTTGTGAATTTTGCTGCTGTAAACATGCCTGTGCATGTGTCTTTTTTTTCTTTTCGAATTGAAATGAGGTCTCACTGTGTTGTCCAGGCTGGTCTGAGCTCAAGTGATCCTTTTTCTACCTCGGCCTCCCAAAGTACTGGGGTTACAGGCATGAGGCATCACATTCAGTTATATGTCTTTTTCATATAATGACTTCTTTTCCTTTGGGTAAATACCCAGTAGTGAGATTGCTTGACTGAACGATAGATCTACTTTCAGTTCTTTAAGGAATCTCCATACTATCAATGAGTTCTGAATTTTTAAGCGTTTTAACACTTTTCATCATTATTTTACTGTTATTTCTGATTTTGTGAGATTGTGATAAAACAGCATTAGCCACACTATTTTGAATAAGTTTATGATTTCTGTGTGAATAGGTACCTGGAAGATTTTTGTCCCTGTTCTATTACTATAAAAATGTACGTTCTCTATTTAGGGATATAAGTATTCATACTATTGCTTTTAAGTTTGTTAATCATATTTTTCTTTATGTTTTTATTTTTTGGTATACTTGGACTGTTTGGTACAGAAAAAGGTTTATGACAAGCTTCAGTGCTTCTGTATTTTTAATGATGTTATCCCTGCACTCCTGGTAGTTTTTGTGTTATTTATTTATCTACGTTGTTGTTGGATGCATACAAGCCATATATTTAGTGAAGAATAACAATGGAACCCTGACTTGTGAGATTTTAATCTTAAATTCTTTATAGTTTTTATTCCCTTTGACCAAAATGCAGATGTAGTTTTTAGATGAGACTAAAATATATGACACAATTCTAAAAAATAGTTAATGCATTGAGTGCTTTGATGGTGCAGTCCCAATTCCAAATGTTTTATTTGTATTAACTCATTTAATCTTTCCCCAAATCCCATGACATAATAAGTATTGGTATTTTAGGTAACAGATGAGGAAACCAAAGTACAAAGACATTTAGATCACATAACTATTTCACAGCATAGCTGCAATTTGAACCCATCTTGTTAGTAGTCTTAACCACAGTGGTATACTATTTCAAAATGGAAAATGTTGATTCAGGATATTTACATAGAATAGATTTTTACAATTTATCTGACTTCCTAAATATTCATTGGTATTCCTTGTCTTCCACATAGAGAGTTGATGTCTGACTCATAAAAGGCATGAATACTGTTAGATTGTGGCACATGCCAGATAAAATTTTAGGTTCACATTACATTTAAGTATCACCCAATATACAGAGAAAGTTTGACAAAAGTGTTACATTTGTAGAACATTTTAGTCTAAGTATTTGAAAAAAATTTTCATGCACATGTCTACATCTTTAATCTTTCGTTTTGTGATAACTACACAGCTATCACAGAGATGAAGCACATAGTGACATTAAAAAGATTAAAATCTGTTTTAAAAGATAAAACTCATCTGAATTATTTTTCCCCCTTAAATTGAGCAGCAGAGTAGGAAGTATATAAATAATTTCTCAGTTCAACTATACTGTATATTTCTATCACCTTTTCCTCTGTTTGTTTTTTCAAACTGGAAGCAAATGCAGGTGGATATTTAAACTTGAGATAGGTAAAGCTTTACAACCGTAGGATAAAAGCAAAATACTTCACGGAGACATTAGATAGATTATATCATCTGAAATACCACCTAAACTCAAGTGAAAAGGCAAATGGCTTTCTGAAGAACTATGAAATCAAATAAAGACTTTGTAAGCTTAGAATTCTTAGAAATGAGTAAGGTAAATGTGAAAATCTAAGTACAAAACAGGCCAAAGATTTGAAAAAAGTTCACAGATAGATAACAAATGTTCTTATAAAAATCATCCTTTACCCTGTTAATCATGTGACAACAAGATCCTAAGTTGTAAATTTTGATGAAATAACTTCAAGTTTAAAGTTTCAAGAGTAATACTAAGTACCCTTGAGTACACTAATCCAGATTCCTCAAGTATTAACATTATACCATATTTACCTTTCTCTCTCTCTCTTTCTGTATATATGCAGGTATGTGTATAATTATGTTTTTCTGAATCATTTGAGAGCAGTGAATAGATATCCAGATTTTATTTTTTGAAGTTGAAGTTTTGCTAGCTCTAGGCCAGCAAGATGGTGTTTTCCTAAATATTTTTAGGAAAAAAAAAAAAAAAAAGTAATTAAAAACCTCCCCCAATATAGAAAAACTCAAATGTTAAATATCTTTTACAGTTTTATCTAAATATACTTGAGAAATATAGATTACTTTAGAATTAATATTATTTATGGAATTTTAGAGCCTCTTGTACTCAGCCCGAATATGAGTATGGCCTGATCAGACAAAACATGTTTCTGGAACTTGTTGCAAAAAATCCAATGAAATCTGTAGATTTACTCTTTAAAACAAACAAAAAATGTATATAAACAGATAAATAGGTAAATTGAGTTGGAAAAGGCATTGATTTTTTAAAGTAACTATATGCTTATATTTAGACATTTATAAAATTGTAACATGATAGTGGCAATTGTAGTCACTTTATGGTGTGTTGTGAACTACCTTATTTAACACTAAAAGTTTATTTTAAAATATAATTTTAAATTTTTGAAAAACTGCCTGTCACATGTGATGATTTTTAGTGTATTGCAAGATTTAGTTAATTAATAACCCTGTTCCCCAGCTTTTCTGGATGAAGATAAAGTCATTTTATTAAGTAATAGACTTTCCTGGGAACCTGTTTTAGTAGATGGATACAAATAAGTTAACATGCCTCTTTCATGGGTAACTGACAGAATTTCCTACTCAGACTAACTTAAACAAGGACATATATAGATCATGTACCTACTCAAAGGGAATAGGAATAGCTTCAGGCTTTACTGGATCTGGTTCTCAGGCAGTTCTGTTTTTGAAGTATGCTTCCCTTTGTTTTATCTGATTTTCTCTTATGAATGGACTTCTTACCTGTACTGGAAATTATCTGTAGGAAGCAGGAAATAATCCTCCTGGTAAGAGGTACTTCCAGTATGACATGCTCAGTAGCAAAACTGCTGATCAACAGCTGTGTGAGACCTGAGCCGGTTGGAGGAGTTCACAGCCCCTGTCTGTTGGTCTTCCTTCTGCATTTTTGAAAGACTATTGTATTTTATTTTAAAGATGGGGTTTCACCATGATGGCCAGGCTGGTCTTGAACTCCTGACCTCAGGTGATCCACCCACCTCAGCCTCCCAAAGTGCTAGGATTACAGGCGTGAGCCACTGCGCCCCACTGGAAGACTCTTGATGATCAACCAGAGTAGTTTTCCTGGAGATCCCTGGTAGGGGAGGGACACAGAATCTGTGTCCTCTGACTACTTTGAAGCCACACTGGACTGCAGAAGCCAGACTTCCCAGCAATTATGACAGCTCATGAATGTTTTTAGAATATTTTAGGCCCTTCCAAAGCACTTAAGTGTTATCTAACATGTTCAAGTGTCTGAGGTGGCTTATAAAAGCAGGGACAAAACTTCTTTTATTCAGAGTCAGGCTGTTGCCAGTATTAGAGATCCAAGTTACCCTGAGCTACCAGCAGCACATCTGTGCAGGTCTACCCCAACTTCAGTCCTTGCCTCCTCACAAGAAAGACTTTGATGGATATAAAGCAGGGAAAGAGACCGAGGCACATCTCAGAGTAGGAGTGGAAGTTTATTTAAAAGCTTCAGAACAGGAAAGAAAGTTCACTTGGAAGAGATCCAACAGGGTGCCTGAAGGTCAAAGAGAGAATTTAACCTTGATCCTAGGGCTTATAGGCTTGCCTCTTTCCCATGATTCTTCCCTTAGGGTGGGCTTCCGCTTGCACAGTGCCTCCCTTACCCTTGGAGCCCATGCAGCG